CGAGTTAAGCTGAGCATTCCGATTCTGCACGTCCGCGACGGCGTTTGCGTAATCGATATTCAGGCGCTCCCTTTCAGCAGTGATGAGCCCTTGTTGGTGCCCCAACTCCCGGGCTGCCCCCATAGCGGGCAGGAGCACTTGTGTCTCAAAATTAGGGATCTGAGGCGCGCGGAGATTCGCAATATGTCCAATAAGAGTAGAACCCTGCCATGCTTTAGAGATGGGTCCATGGAGCAAGCATAAGCCTGTGGGTGATGCGGCCACAGTTAACGTCCCGTCCGACAGCTGGTTACCATTAATGAACGTCATCTGCACCTGGGTCTCGCCACATTGGCACACCATGTCCCAGAGACGGGCGCCAATATCACACCACTCGAAGGGTGTGTAGGGAACCAAAGTCATTTCCTTATACTTACCTAGCTGTGTGTCTGTAAAAAATAAAAGCAAATATTATCCGGCCTCTATCGGCTCCCTGCCCCTACAAAGTCGCGTTCTTCCCAAAGGATTCATACGGTGGAGAGTATCATAAAGAATGCATTCATTTATCAGGATATACACATACATTAATTAAGTTAGCCAGCTCTCCCGCGATCATTCTTTTCACAAGCTCCTAGAAAAAAGGGGAAGAATGACAAAGACACGCAACACACACTGATAAAATGCAAAAAAAAAGGAAAAAGCAAAAAAAAAATTTTTATAAACCCAAATATACATACATATATTATATATTATATATTCACAAAGCAACAAATTAAAAAAGCAAACACCAAAAACAAAAACAAAAACTAATAATTCATTCATTCATTCATTCAATAAACCGCACGCGACCAACAACCACCGTAAAAACAAAAAAAAAGAAAAAAAGCGGCCTTTAATAATCATAAAAAACAAAACAAAACAATAGAAGGGGGTTGCCACTGCCGCTACTATTGGTAGTAGTGGTGGTGGTGGGTTAGATGGAGAAGCAATGTTTTAACCACAGCCACATTTCTTTCCGCTCCAAATATATATATATACATTCCTTTATTTACATGTACACACACATGTACTTATGTGCGTATTTCTGATTTTCCCTGCCTCCCCACGATCGTGACGTGTTGCTCATTCTATTTGAATCAAAAACAAATAAATGAATATAAATATAAATATATTTATATTCATGACTGACGCAGTAAAGGAATTTGGACTCCTCCCGCCACAACTCCCAACCAAAAGAAGCGAAAATAATAATAATAATAACTAAATATA